TGCTCTGTTGTCTTTCTCCTAAAGTTTGAATCACTATTTTAAGAATCATGATCTTTTCTCTATTTTTTTTTTATTATTTCAATAGCTTGTGTGAAACTTTACTAATGATAAAAACTTCACTTTTTAATAATGAATTGTTATAAAGTTATAAACAAAACAATCTTTTCAATGTACTGCAAAATAAGTGCATAATTGAGTACTCTTTTATGATACATGGTATTAATTAATAGATCAGTTGTCTAATATGATTTTGTTTTTACATTATAGAGAACCCTTAGCTCTATATGCAGTAGAGTTTTGATAACTGTTGATGCAACTGTAGATGAAATACAATAACATAGTATAGCATAAAGGTCAATAATTGTTGAAAATGAGCCTAACCCAGAAGCATTATTTTTTTCGCCAAAACTAGAAATATCCAAGATTTGATTGATTGATCTAATATCCTCACATGAGTCCCAACTAAAAAATATTTAAAAGAAAAAAAATACTAGCGGGGGGGGGGGAATGGCGGAGTTCCTTTAATAGGTAACCAAGGAGCGATATAATTGGCTAATGCACATATTTATCATTATAATAAGTTTGAACGATTGATGCTTCAATAGAATAAGTTGATAACCGATGCGAGTGTCAGTACTCTCGTCAATATGGTCGACCAGAAGCGATCTTTGATGCAATTTTCGGTGAATGACTGCAGTATTTCTGGTGTGAGCAGATCAAGACTTCGACGAGCGGCTGAATTAAGACCTAAGTTTTACCATAATGAATAAGAGATCGACTCAAAAAAGTAAAACATAAAACTGATTCAGCGATTAAAGCTATTTCATCAGATTCCGATGTAATACAATATTAGCTAATCTTGTTCTCAACTGATAACGGTGAAGATCTGCATGAGCTTGATTGAACTGACCCGGTAATCGCGACAGATCGATTGATCTAAAATCTGTATCGATTACTTATTGATACTAGTTCTATCTCTGGATAGCAATATTTTACATAGTTAGGTTTTGACAAAATGCCATTGCATATCCTGTCTGAGATGATAGAGGAGAAAGTAAATAAGATAGACCATTGGTGATCATTCTACTGATAATAACCGGCGGAACAGCAGACCGATCAGTCTGGAATCTGGATCGAAACGGATTGGCTAGAAACCAGTACTGACTCTATCTCTGAAGTATTTATATTTCAATCAACAACATGAAAAGCGTGAATTAACTTTGCATTTCTTTATCGGTTTTTCCGCTAGAGCACACGATCTATTTTATACTCTTTTGGGCATGCCAGTTGCTGAAAAACAAGAGTTAAAACCAATAGATTATACTTGTTTTTTCGTCCCGAGATCCATCGGTCTGTCTTTCTGATTAAATGAGGATAAGTGAGTTAAAAAAGACGTGTAACTTTATGTTTTAGTCCATTAAGAATTGTATTGATAAATTTATTTAGATCGTCCTATGCAGCCGAACGCTAGTATGATAAACATAATTGCGATAGTAAAACTGTAAATCATACTAACATAGGCTTTTTTCTGAATAGCTACAAATGAAATGACAAACAGATACACAGACATACAAAAGTCCCACTTGTAAAATCGGAAAGAAGAAACTTCTTGACGTTTCCCTTGGTTCATCCATCGAAAAAAATCAGCTAAGAATTTACTTAATGATAAACAATGTGAATCCGATTGTTTTATATCCTTCTTTGTATATGTTATTGATATGTTCTCGTTCTGTTTTGATTTCGACAATATTTTTTCAGACGGTTTCTTCATCGAGGAAATATTTTGATTTTTAAGTCCGACTTTTGAAGTGACGATCCATTGTTTTGCAAGATTGAAATTGAACAATCCAGATATCAATGCACTGGTATGATGTACGGACATTGCACTTGTAAATATATGGTATGGTAATGCTAAATAAATCCCATTTGGTGTAAACGCAGCATCAGAAAAGGCATGGAACATTGAAATATAAATACTGATCGTAGTGTAAATGTTCCAATGTGGCATCCATAAGCCCGCGGGTATGATCACAAATAATGAGATGACGTGGAATAGATATATAAAGTTTCGAAATATATAGACTAGAGACATTAGTTTTTTTAACAGAGAAATATGCTTTGCTCGACAAACGGCACCGATCGATTTTCGAGTTACTTGCATATAACCACTTGTCCACCGATGCTGTTGGGACATGTATGCAGATAATCTTGGAGGCAGCTCACTAAGACACTCAACATTCTCCATGTATACCGCACGCCAACCGTTTAAATGAGCTCGCAATGCTAAGTCTAAATCTTCGACAACCGTATCCGTATGCCATCCACCAGCTTGTTCAATGGCCGATGCTCGCCAAACGCCACCCGTACCATTGAAAGTAACAAATAGTGAAGCACGAGATCTGCCCTCTTGTTCGCATTTGTGGTGAAAATTGAGATTAATTTCTTGTACACGAGTTAAAAACGATTCTTTAGCATTAGTGTATGTCCATCGAGCTTGCACAAATGCAACATTTGAATCATGAATCAGAATAGGCAGTGTTCTTAACAGATAATCTTTAGTCGGTAAAAAATCAGCGTCGAATAAAACTATGTATTCAGCTTCAGGAATAAACGACCTACCATTGATAAGACCTCCCGCTTTGAATCCTTGTCGATGTATTCGTCGAGAAATACCTATTTGCACTCCTCGATAGATCCAGTTTTGCACACATTCGTCAACAATCGCTTTTGCTTCATCATTGGTCGAATCGTCTACTACTTGAATGAAAAGTCGATTTCTCGGCCATTCTAGATTGCAGGCGCATTCAATGATGGATTTACAACACTCGATTTCATTCATCATTGGCAATTGAACAGCGACCAACGGATAATCAAATTCAGTTGCTGGTGATGGTAAAACATCATTCAATGTCGGATGAGAGGTAGCCGATAAATATAGTCGAAAATAGATATGAACAAGACGGGTTATGTACACTGCTATGTAGATAATAATAAACACGATCATCATAGTTTCAATAATAAATAGTAATATATATTGAATATCGTTATCAAGGAAAACAATTGATGTCTCTTCATAATTATAATTGTCGCTTGATGTTATTGAAGACATACCTTATATAAGCACAAATTAAGATCAAAGTCTAATAATCAACGTTCTATATTCATAGTCATATTATCTAGAACCAAGTCAATGATGGAACACTGAACACAAACGTTTGTGTGAGAATAGCAACAACATATAAATATATACGCACCTTGTATATGAAACTCAGAAGAGCAGAAAGCAAGAAAAGTTACTGAATCCAAAACCATCTTAAAATATACACATTTACAAACGTATGGGAAAAAATTCTTTACATAGAATCAACGAAAATAAGAGACCAAAAACTCATATACGCCAAGTTGTCAATCCGATGAGAAAAAATATGTCAAGTAAAACCGCGCTTGTAATTTTTTTGATTTTCTAGTGATCGACACGATTTTGCTGATGGAATGACATAAATAAATCCCTTATAAACGAAAAAAAAACAAATTTCCCATCTCCGAATCCCTCGAAGAGAGTACACGCATAGGATTGCAGGAGGAGGGTCTACAATTTTTATTTTTTATTTTTGAAATTTTTATTTCCAATATTCATGTTTGATTTATGCATAAAACTGTACAAGAGTCTAGAAAGATCTAATCTTCATTTGAAAAATGAATTTTTTTATTCGCACACCTCTCTGAAGCGGTCCGAAGGCCGAAAATTTTTTTTTTCGTTAATGAAGGAGTTATTTACATCAATTCATCAGGAATGTCGTGCTCATTATTGGAAAATTAAAGTTTTGAATTGGACCATTGAATATTGTTCAAATATCCTCCACATACTAGCCGCTTCATACAGGCAAATAGACGATTCTATTGAGCAATCTTGAACATTGACCTTAAGCTTCTGCTGTCCCAAATGATGTTACCGGAAGATATACAGAGCTGCATAATGTGTAATTTTTGAGAATATTTCACGTTGGTACTCATTTTTTTCTGTGATACAGAGTTGAAGACACTGGAATCTTAGACAGTCAAGAAAAAACTAGACTTAGCAAAAGGGACTATTTTTAACTATGAAGAAGCAAGCAACAATGAAAACTATTGACTATAGAAAATTGAAGAGCATCTATAACTGTATTGAATTGAGTTTAACAATAAAATTTGAATATAATTATCCTAGAACTTCTTAGAGATCACAATGAAAATTTGAGGAAAACTTGATATTTTTATATATCATTCGATGCGCCACGAATTGCTCTTCAAAAGCATATATGATATCGTGGTTCAAGATAGGCCACCGAATTCAGCAAGGTCTTTTTACCCATGTCTTCCGTATTTACGGTGAACGCATAATATCATAAAAACTTTTGAGGACCGGACCATTGTCATGATTCTCATAAATCTACTCTGCTGTAACTTTTCGAAGACTTGACAAGACTCTGTCACCCTCGACCTGTCTACACCACTCGCACCACTAGATTGACTTACAGCCCTCGATAAACGTAGCTACCACTCTTTGGCAATGCCACCGTTTCGCATCACTTTTGCTTGATATTTGAAGTCAGTGCTTGTCTTACTGCACTCTGATCGTAAGCATCAGCCAACCCTTAATGTCATGATGTTCGCTACAGCTTTCCATTCAATATTGTCATCACCTAACGAAGGTCATATCTCGATTATTTTGTAGAATCTATTGTCGCACACCCTCTCATTCGGAAACCCAATGATGCAGTCATCTTCAGTAAGGGTTTGTTGAGAAACCAGTTCGAAATAACGAAGAACAGTCTGAGGTGTTCAACACTTCCATCAACTACTAGTAGACCCTGATATTAAATCTCGTAGCAAGAGCTCAAGCTAGTTTCGATCAATTCATCTGAAAATTCTAGTAATATATTTTCATGGACTTCAAAAACTTCTGATGGAGTTTTAAATGCTATAGCTCCACACAGAGGCGTGACAAAGGCATCGGAGGAGCTTACCATTGCAAACCTTGCCATTTGTGAAACTTGTAATATTATGCAGTGAGTTTCGGACCCAAGAAACTTAGTATATATAGCTACTATTAGAGGTTAAAAAGGCAAGGATATATCATTCAAACACGTAACGGAAACTAAACATTTTCTTCGACGGCATTTCACTTTCACTTGTTAAACAAATGATAACCAGGACATCGATGTACATGAAACTCTATCGTACTAGTCATTTTAGATTTAGTGATAACACAAGACTCTTCTTGAGTTAGAACACTCTAGATGATGCTAAGGAACGGTTGATCGATGAAGCAAAATTTGTATGACATCAGCAATATGATTTTCAAGCCAAATCCTTTGTAAGAAAGAAGTGCTTTGCGCTAACCTATACTGTTTGTTGTCTGTGGAACAAGTTTAAAAAAGTGTCATCGAAGAAAATCTTGCTTACCGTTTCATGTTGGAATGGTTTATGCTTGGGTATGGGTGGCGGAAAAGAAGAATAAAAACAACTACACTAACACCTACATCTGTGATTCGAAAACAATGCTACATAGGTTTAGTAGTACTACTTAAGAATAGAAAAATTCGCTGGATACTGACAATGAACAAGATTTTCTGAAGACAATGCAATCTCAGAAAACTTACGTTTCCTGATTGAATTCGTGCCAAATTTTTCGTGCTAACGAGCAGAAAAATGGTGTAATGATTCGAAGTTATCCTATGCACAAAAAATGAAAGCGTTATGTTGTTTATACACATCGAAAAAATAAGTTTGGCTTGTGTGCATTCATCCATATACGTAACATATACTATTGATATAACTTTTTTTCATACCTATCTTATCGTTCTTCTGCTTGTTCTCTTTCTCACCTCGCGAACAACTTAATCAACGAAGAGAGAGTGAATCAAATGATGGTAGAAATGTGCACATTAGCACGGTTTGCTTTCTCTTTTTTCCCCATCGTTTTACAGGATAGATAAGTATTAAGGGTTCAGAAGAAATAGCAAGGGGAAACGGCAGACTTGAAGTTCATCAAAGTACTTTAAAATTATATGAGAGTACTATGAAAAACACTTTAAAATTACAAAAGAGTACTTTAAAGTAGCTCGAAGTGCGTTTAAGTAGTGCAAATTACCTTCAAGTACAAAGTCTGCCGTTTCTCCCTTGAGAAATAGCATGCTGCTTGATACCGTTGGCCCAGGCAGAGCCTGACTTCAAACGTCCCTTCTACATATGCTAGGACACCAACGTTTTTTATACTAATGCTGAGAACGATTGCGGCGTAGATGTGGAGGCGGTTTCCAGTCTAAAGAAGAAAATATTCCCACCCACACCCATTTCTCACATCCTCATCCACACCCATATATTTCGAATTCATATTTTTTTATCATAAAAATATTCATTATTCAAATTTATGATTCAATTTATGGTAAGAACTATTGATATTAAAAATCTATGCCACTTTTATTCTTCTTTTGTAATTTTCTGTGTTGTTGATTATTTTTTCCTTTTTTAATACTTTTAATTTTTTGTGCTTAAAATTATAATTCAGAGTCCTGATGAGTGGTTTTTATTTAAAATAAAGAACACGAAACGCGTCGGTAAATTAAACTCTGCATTTCTTTAATGAATTTTTTATATAGAGTAGAATAACATGTTCTTTTAACACATTCATTTAACTTCGACAAAACAATCGATAGCTGAAAAGCAAGAATTGAGAAGAGCAAATTGACTTTGTTTCTTTTTCAACATAGATAGGTCAGTCTGTTTTTCATTTGATTTATTCAAAAGCAATATGAATTATTATGTGTTAAACCAAATGAAGTTGAATTCTTATATGTATATTATTTGTTAAAAGCTCATAAATTGAAAACTACGTTAAGATTTCATAAAACCGATAATTCGATTTTTCTAAAGCCATTTGAACTTATACTTGCATATTATCTTCAATATGAGCACAATTATACGTGAAGAATAACTTAGATCATTTCAAACTATACTAATTGCGATAATGATTTTTTCCTGATAAGATGACACAGATAGCAGTAAGAATAAAAATATTTGATCTCCTCAGAAATAAGCCATAAGTACTAACCCTTTTTATGAGGGACATAGTTCAGTAAGGTTTACAAGATACATTATATGTCAGATGAAAAGCGAATTGATACCTGAGAATGTTCCTTCCTTAGGTAGACATGTCAAGTGTCAATTTGATATTAGATACTCTAGTAGAACAAGATGAATAAACTGTCCTGTAAGACGTGTGAAGGTTTTTATAGTGATCAAGAAACAGAAGATGAAAGATGAACGCATAACAACATGAAACATAAGCAATAGAGTGCTAGCGAAAAAGTAAAGAACGAAGAATATCTAATATAGAGACATAAATAAGTCCAAGTGGGCTCCTAACAATCAAATATTATTGTCGAGAAGCTGTTATTTATTGGAGACTCTTCATGTATCGTATTTTTTACCGGTATCGAGGGGCGAAGAAGACATATTACTTTCACAATTTCAGTTTATTAGGAGTTGTGTTGATAGTTTTTTTTTCTAATGAATTTTCGCATATAAATAGCTGAAAACGTCGGTATCAGTAAACCACAACTAATATAAATAGGCCAGTTCATTTCTGATTTGTATTTGTAAATTATATTCGAACTTAGAACTTGAAAGTTTTTGTCAAGAAAAAGGCCAATTGTAATAATATTTAGAAAAAGATACACGAGCATATGCTGACACATAATATGATATGTTTCTTTACCAATCTTAAGTAAAATATCATTATCATCAATATGTTTTGAGACACATTTTGCAAGAAACATAAACATATAGATGCCAATAATAGATGTTAAAATAGGTAACCAAATTGGTGCAGATGAAAATTCAGCATTGAAATGGTGAAAGTAAATATTATTGTTATGATAATAGTCCAACTGACATATAATAATAAATGCTAAACAAAAATTTATTCCTGTAAATAATAATTTCTGATATTTTTCAATATGTGCACGGTAAATTATTCCACAAAAAAGAAATAATAAACTAAATGACGTTCGAATAAAAATACGCTTAAATAGACTATGTTGAAGATAATTGAAAGTATTTTGTAGTGTTGTAGGACGAGGTGATGTATATGACCACTTAATATTAACTAATGTTATTAACAAAAAGCAAACAAAATAAACAAAATCAATTTTCTTATCATTACTCTTGTTATTGTAGATAAATTGCATAAAGATTAGTATAAGCCACAAATCTGTTATAAACCAACTTGTAACAAAAACAATAGAATTACCACCGAATAATGGTTTGAGAAGTAGAACCATTGGATATTGTAATAAATCCAAATCCCAATAAGTTGTTGTCAAATTAATTGATAAACATACTTGTAAAAAGTAACAAATAATTGTAAACGAGATTTGATATAAAAAATAAGGCCACATCAGCTCTTTAGTCTTCTGTGCACAATAAATTAATTTCAAACGAAATCCATCAATTGATTTGAAAAAATAACCAGAAATAAAGAAAAATAATGATAATAGAAATGACCCAATAGGATAATGAAATATCTTTGGTACGTAATAATGAACACTGAGAACATATATAATACCTATTGTTTTTAGCAAATCCATTTCTTTATTTCTCATTTTTAATCAGAATCTATAAAAGAAAAAAAGCTGATATTATGTGTCTGCATTTGAATTCTTTTACATTGGATTTTAGTAAGTACGCAAACACTTAGTGTAACGAATTTAAGCAAAAGTGATTTGTCATTATGTTATCTACATGTCCTGTGTTTACCAAATTAAACACCGCAAACATTTTAGAGTTGTACACATTGAACTCTCTAGTTCTCACATTGCTTTTTATGTACTCAAAAAGTGAGTACACTATAGAATCGGTCAGTGTGTCCGGCCGACCGGCCGTTTACACGATAATTCTTCAAAAGATAGTCCGATTGTGATGAAATTTTGTACACAGAATCGTCTCATCAATATCTCGGTCGAGTTCGAAGATGAAAATGATTCGTCAAGAGATTGCTGAGTTATCGCAAAAATATCATGATTTCCTATGCTTTTCTATGCGAACATTGACCTATCCCCGTTTTCGTAAAACAACTTTTTCTCTCATAATTAAACAAAACCTTAGAGATTATATACCATTCGATAGAGAATATTACGAGCTACTAAATGGTATATAAAACATTAAGAAACAAGAAGGCTAAGTCACCTATTGCAAAGATACTGAAACGGAAATTGCTTCTGTGTTTTTACTTTTTGAAGTACACATAACACTCGAATTTAAATCTGACGTTTCCACAGTTTTTCTTCTCTTTTCGTTCTTTATATATCTATCGGAAGACCACCAGAAGGATTAATGCAAGGAAAACATGATGATAAAAGAATATAATATAACTAATCGATCGTGTTTCTCATCTTTTCATAAGCCATGGACAAGTGGATAGAGCAAAGATACATCCAAATTCGATGTAAATATGATTATATATCAGTATAATATCCAAAACGAATGGGACACTCATGTAGTAGCTAGTTATAGGACACATAAAAATTGCTCGAAGAGATGGATAGAGAAAAAATTATTTATTCTTAATCAATCAGCGGTGTAATCAGGATTTTTAGACCAATGGGCAAACTTCTCTTGTGTCGAAAAAGACCGATGGGCAGAATAGGCAACGTTTTTATTAATAGGCCAAAACGTTTTTGATCTAACAAAGTACTAATAACGTAAAAATAGCATGCATAAGTGAATGTGAAGAACTCTCCCAATATGTATCTGTGCAGCACACATGGACATTTTCCTTTATGTTTTCACAAATAGGTCATTGGATTTTTCCTTTCTCTTCTGTGCGTCACTCTATATGTATATATATCTACACATATATATGTTCGTGTGTATTCTCTTGATCTGTACTCTTGTTTTTCTTCTCTATGATCTATCCTTCTCTACCTTTACGTGGTTAGTGCTTTCCCAATAAAATCGAACTCATGTTCACCCAAACATACAGTTAAAATCAGAGTTGCCAGATCTTCTGAAAAGTCATGAAAGTTTCTGAAATTTGAACATTTTCCTGATTTTTTTCTGGCCTTCTGATTTTAAGTACTTTTTTCCGATTTATTGTCGATTTCAAACGTTTTTAGATGGTGGCTCTACTAGCGAAATTAATTACGACTATAATTCATTAATATTATAGATCCGTATTGCGCTATCTTCTTTCCTTCCTCAATCTTTTATAGTTTCTGAGTTCTGCAACTACTGAGGAATACGTCAATGTGTCAGTAAATTTTTGCGTTGCTGAACTTAAGAATGAATGCTAGTTATGTTTTTGAACGATTTTGTAAACATATTTTAGCTCAAAAACATTTATGGAAAGAATTTCAAACAAAGAAAAACTTGAAAAATAATATGGAATTTATGTTCTATAAACTTTATTATTTTCCGTAAGATTTTTTGATCCGCATTGTTTATATATTATTTGTTTGCGCATATTTTGCGTAAGCAGAGTTGTGGGCTTCATAAAAGATTCTGACACTAGGTGATTTTTGCTAGCTTTTTTTGTATTAACTAACAATTGAAGGCCATGTAACTGCAAATTAAGGAGATTGTTCATAGCCAAAGCAAATGAATGCTCTCACTCACAGATAAACTAGTTTCAAACATGAGTTGCCAATAGCGTACACAGACCGAAAGGTTTAAATTTCAAGATATTTACAGTTTGTTATAGGCCCACGCTACGAAATTTCATCAACCTTTCGTTTTTTTCGTCATAATTGAATGGAACACGACTATTTACATAAGGAGAAACAATATCACACATATTCAAAAGCAATTTGACAGCGGTTAAAATTTTTTGTTTATTACCCTTATAGTTGAAAAAATGTTGTCTTAGAGTTGATACAATCTGCTTTTTAATATGCATGATAGTGTTCTTTCTTATGTAAATGGTCGTGCTCCATCCAACCATGACGAACAAAGAAAAATAAGCGTTGATGAAATTTTGTAGTGTGGGCAATTAAGAAGCTGTCAATTTCTTGAAACTCGAATATCTCGGTCTGTGTACGCTCTTGACAACTCATTTTTTTAACTAGTCGGTTTGACAGTGAAAGTATTTATTTGATCCGACTATGATCAATCTCCTTAGCTTGCAGTACATGATCTTTTACTCTAAGCTCTATAATGTTTCTATTGTCTTTCTTTACTATGAAATACTTTTGAAAATAAAATATGAGTCGATAAACAAAAAAAGTGAAGCATTTTATACAAGCATGTCAACATGATAGCCCTTGGTTTGCAAAAGGGATACTCTTTCTGATTAGTTTCCGATTTTAAAGAAAAACTTCTGAGTTTTTTCTGATTTTGAAAATAAGAATTTCTGATTGTTAAGTTTTTCATCTGGCGATTCTGATTAAAATATCCGAAGCCATTCTTTTCTTAATTCTTCACAGAAAGGGCAAGCAAAAAGTGCATGTGTGATTCAGACGGAAGAAACAAAATGTGGTTACTATCTAATTCAAAAATAAATAAACAATTCTGAAAAAGTAAAATTACAATGGGAAAATCTCCAAATGAAATGGGCAATTGCCCATTTGCCCCTCCCTTGGCTACGCCGCTGTAACCAGTAATTAATTCATATTGAATATGTGCTACAGATGAGAGTCCATAGCAGAGATATCAATTTAAATTTACTTTTAATTTAATTTATGCATAAATTAAATTATCAGTGATTTAAATTTCAAACAAATTCAACTTAAAATAAATTTAATTTATTTTAAGAGGGGGGGGGGGCGGAAGGAGGGGCCCTTAGAAACCAATTTTGTTATTTTTCGTCCGATTTCACCCAAATTTTTCGGAGGATATGAGTTTAGGATAGGACAGATTATGAGTGAAATATCTCCAAAACTCCAATAAAATAACGAATTATAGCCAATTTATTGGTCAAAAGTACCCTGTACGCGGGCAAGGTTTTCATAATACGGATACGAGCTAACATGTCTGGGCGGTTTTTAGGTTGTAGAGTGCCCTTAGAGCTAGGTCGTGACAGGGCCCAATTTTTGAATTTTCCTTCTTTTGTTTTTCAAAAAAATCCTTTTTTCAAAAATTCTTGAATTCATGGCCAAAAAAATCATTGATCAGAACGAAAGATCTACGATTTTTATTTCAGTAAAAGAGAAATTCAAAAATCCGGCTCTGTGATGACCTAGCCCTACTTGTCTACTATACAATAATAAAAAATTAGCACTTCCATATCGAGTCGTTATGAAGAAAAGCCTGTCCGCGTAAACGGCCTGCTCGAAAAAACTGATTTTGAGAAAAACGAATAAAATTTTTGATGCAGTTAGCGTCTTTATTCGAAATAAATCTGCTGATTAGTCTAACATTTCCGTACTTCTCGTCAAGCTTTATTGATGGCATGTATGCGGATATATCCTAATACGGTTCCTTCTACATAGACGTCACTTCGAGTCACACAGGTTTTTATCAATTTTCTGGCTAATTCATGAAATAACATTTTATTTGATCGATGTATTTTACCATTGGTCACAGCTAGAGAGCTGAAACTTTCAGAACTAAAAAATCTTGATTAGTTCTATAAGTCATAAAAATTTTAGATCCATTGGTCAAATAAAAGTATGAAAAATATCATTAACACTGTATCCTTAGTTATTATGAAACACCCTTTATGCCTCAGTAGCGCATTCTCAGAAAAAAATTCGCCAGAAAAAAAGTCCAATGTACATATTTTGGCAAACAAAATTATACTAGGTTGTAGTCCATTACAAGCACTATCAGAATATGTATAAATCTCAAAATCGAGTTTTTTTCGAAAAATTGACTTTTCTGAGGGGGGGGGGTGGGGAAGAGGCTTAAAATTAACTTCTTAACTCTTTATAACTTCTTAACTCTTTATAACTTCTTAAATTAAAAACTAAATTAAATTACCCTATTTGTTTATGAGCTATCGAGAGGTAGTCCGTAGAATTTTTTAAGGCCTATCTATGGATGGTCCCTGTAGCTGTTTATAGAATATCTAGGGATGATCTCTATAGCTTATTAAGACCTTCCATCAAATGGTCTTCACAATCCTTCAGTAGCTATCCAGTGCTGGTCACCATAATGCTTTACGCGCTATTTAGAAGTGATCATCAGAACTCTTTAGAGGTTATCGGGGGGTGATGCCCTAAATCTTTAGGGGTTATATAAGGGCGGTGCCTATAACTTTTTGAGAGCTACCAAGGAGAGACCTCGCAGGATTTATGGAGACCACTTCTAGACGTCCCCTAAAGAGCTACGAAGCTCCACCGATATAGATCCTAGTAAGGTATGAAGAGTATCCCTAAATAGCTCTCGAAAGTTATACAGTTCTCGCCTATAAAGCTTAGGAAGAAATAGAATAATTTTCTTTGATCGTTTTATATAATAAATTATAAAAAGCAAATAAGTTAAATTTAAAATAAATTAAAGAACCGGGTGGATAAGGATCATTTTTGGGCCATCTTTAATTCCTATCAATTTATGACTTATATAATGCAGAATTTCACCGGAAATCGTTTAGTAACGGAATAAACCTATTTCTGAAGGATTCAGACTCTTATTTGCTCAAAATATTATACTCACTTTTGTGCCATAAATCGATGATGCATATGTAGACGGGTGCCGCAGGTAGGTTTTCCCATCATAAGACATTTTGAACCGAAAACTAGTTCAGTCGACTACTCATTTTGGAGTCTATCTCTAATAAAATTTTCGGCTCAAACGGTTAAAGTCTTAGT